CTTCCTCCACCTTGCAGATCAGATGCAAGTTCCCAGCTACTGCTCCAATACCATACAGGCTTGCGCCACCACCGCCCGGTTATATTCTAAATTCTCAATGAACTATATTAGGGATTAAAATCAGCTTTTAAAAAAAAAAATCAAACAAAGAAAGCAGGGTAGTGGTGGCACATGCCTTAAATCCCAGCACTTAGGAGGCAAAGGCTGGGTTTGAGGCCACTCTGAGTTTGAGGCCATCCTGGTCTACAAAGCAAGTCCAGGACAGCTAAAACTATTACAGAGAAACCCTGTCTCGAAAAAACAAACAAAAACCAAAAAGCAAAAAACATTCTTAATGGCGTCTTCATTTTGGCTATCTTTTCCTAAAAAGTAATCAAAGAAAAGTTAGAATTGGATTTACCTTCCTGTAACATGCTCCAGAAAAGAAAAAAGTCCTCAAGACATAATGTGTCCTTAATGAAGTTTTCCTTTCAAGGATAGTAGCTAGCGAAGAGATAAAATTATTTTTAAAAAGAAGAAGAATGAAAGAAAGAAAAAATATAAGTCCTCACTTGGTGAGTTGCTCTGCAGAGGGGTGTCCCAGGGACGGGTCAGAAGGTAGAAGTGTTCACAGGCATGTAGCGGGATACTAACCGGCTCCTCATTGGACAGTCCCAGCTCATATGCCCACTACAATGGACAGTTTGTGGGTGAGAAGAGGAACAGAAACACAGTCAGCAGCCTTCTGACTAGCTCTGACTAGCACAGCACTACTTTACCCAGCGTGGAGATAGACTACCACCACTAGCTGCTTGTATCTGAGGACTAAATACAGGTTTTTGGTTTAGAATACAATTCTAGATTGCCTAGCCCAAACAAGCATTATAGTATCTGGTGTCTCAGTAAAATGATAATCTTACATATCTACAGTAAAAAGTGCAAATTTAAATAAAGTCATAAACCCAGTAGTACTGTTGCCAACATACCTGACCAGCACAGTTGACAAAATACTGGCATTCAATCTGTCCTTTATCTGTCTCCACACCAGTAACTTGACCTTTTTTGATCAGTACATGAAGAACACTTGTCCGGTCATAAATCTGAACACCTATTTCAAAACAAAGAAAAAAGAAGGCAAATTATTAGTCAGGCAGTGGTGGTGCAGGCCTTTGATCCCAGAACTTGGGAGGCAGAAGCAGGAGTTATCTCTGTGAGCTCTAGGCCAGCCTGATCGACAGAGCAAGTTCCAGAACAGCCAGAGCTACACAAAGAAACTGTCTCAGAAAACCAAAAAGAAAAAGAAGGCAAGGGCTGGAGAGATGGCTCAGCGGTTAAGAGCACTGACTGCTCTTCCAGAGGTCCTGAGTTCAATTCCCAGCAACCACATGGTGGCTCACAACCATCTACAATGGCATCTGATCCCCTCTTCTGGTGTGTCTAAAGACAGCGACAGTGTATTCATATACATAAAATAAATCAATCAATCTTAAAAAAAAAAAAAAAAAAATTTAAAAAAAAAAAAAAAAAGAAAAAGAAAAAGAAGGCAAATTATTTGTTGTTACAAAATTAATGTCTCTGGGGGGCTGAAGAGATGAGTCAACCATTAAGAGCGCTGACTGTTCTTCCAGAGGCCCTCAGTTCAATTCCCAGCAACCACATGCTGGCTCACAACCATCTGTAATGAGATCCGATAATACTCTTCTGGTGTGTAGGCGTACATACAGATACAGCACTCATATACATTAAATAAATAAATAAATAAATAAATAAATAAATAAATAAATAAATTTGTAGAAAAGTTAAGTTCTCTGAAGCAGACTCTCTACTCCAAAAGGTACTGGAGAATGTGGGTCAATACTTTAATTTAAAAACAGAACCTCAGCATAGTATGGTGACATACAATGGTGATCTCAGCACTTTGGAGTCTAAGGTTTGGGTCCAAGGCAAGTTTCAGGCCAGCCTGAGCTACATAGTGAAACTCTATTTCAAACAAACAAAGACAATACAGCTCAGTGATAGATCATCTGCCTGGCATGCCCAAAGCAATGGGTCCAACTCTCAGCACTATAATAAATCATAAAGTACATGTAACACTCTGAACATTAAGTCTTTCTCTGATTTACTCTGGACCATATTTAAGCTATAGATTAAACTCCCAAATCATCCCACTCTAGCCTTGGCATGTCTCAAGTCCACAGCAGGGATTCTCATTAAGTCTGACATATATTAATCAGCACAAGTAATTCCTTAGAACAACTGAATACTATTTAAAAACACAGTATATTAAGGTCTAGGTAAAATATTAAGGCCTAGGTAGAATTTTAAGGCCTGGGTAACTGTTACCTGGCTAGCCTGCCATTATAAGGAAACTTTCTCATATGTTTCTGCTGTTACTAGGAAATTTTCTCATGCCCAAGTTGATTGTATATTGTTATGTTCTGTGCCTTGGAAACCAATCAAGATAGAAGTTAGTAGAACTGTACTGTACAGTTACCCACAATAAGCTTGGATCCAAACCAACCACCCAGTGGCACTTCCTGCACCTATGTATAAGCTTTTACAGTATTTGCCTTTATAAGCTACCCCTGGGATGGACCCTAACATAAGAGATACCTGCACCAATATAAGAAACTATCTGGAATAAGACTTTCACTTTGAGTAGGGGTCAAGTAAAATTTAAGTTCCCAAGACCTCCCTGGGAAATGACATCATAACTTGGCAAATGAGACATGTACATGGGCAACTCCCTGGTTGGCGAGTTAAGACATGAATGTTAGACAAGTTCCCTCCTGGTAGACAAGTTAGAACATGAATATTAGACAAGGCAAGTCCCCTGCCTCAGTTGAATACCCCAACCAATGGGAGCAGGATAAGTGTTCGTTACAACAAAGATATGTCCCTAAGAAAATCCCCTATCCCTAAGTCCTGATTGGTGGAATAACTTGGCACAGTGTTTGTAGATTTTAGGCTTAAAAACCTATAGAATCTTAATTCAGGATCACGGTTCAGTTCCCGAATCTGGACCATGGCCCTGACTGATCAGTCCTGGGGTGTATGCTCAATAAACTATCCCTGTTTGACTGAGATCAATGTTCATGTGGTTGTGAAGTGACTTCTGGACCCCAACACAGTGCAGTGGTGAGAACTGGAAAACTAAGTATCTCACACCTTTCTTTTCCCATACCTAAGCTGGTCTTAGTACCTATCATGATACTCTCTCTTAGACTCTTAGATGACCCCTTCTTTCCAAACCCATGCAAAATAATGATAATAATTAGAAGAAGAAGCAGATGCAGCAGTAGCAGTAGCAGCAAATATATAAACAAACAAACAGAAACCTCCTCACCATTCTGGGAGGCAGCACTGGCCAGGGCAAGAGCCACATCAGCAGAGGACACCACTGCATCCTCAGGGACATGCATGGCCCCAACCAGATCATGCACATTGACGAGAGGGTGAAGTTCAGCCACTTTCTTTGGAGAGATGATCTCAGAAGGGATACCTATAACACTGCCAAAGAACACAAGGGGACAATGACATTTATGGGCTCTCTGGCAGAGATCAAGTATGCAAAGTTGGGAGGGGTGGGTAGTCTTAGTCTAAGAATATGTAGTACTCTTACATACTTCAGCCTTGAGTTGATATGCTTCAGAGAGATCAACCGGTCCTGAGTTTGGGCCAGAGAGATTGAGCCTGTCCTTAAGTAACCTGTAAGAAAAGTCAATCAAAGAAGCAGTCCAATGGGATCCACTAGATTTATAGGTTAGACCTATTATAAATCATCTAGCAAAACGTAAACACATCAGAGATATACCTACTGTCAGCTCACAGCTTTGTGAGGGTCAACCAGGATGCTAGCATAGTTAAGAGCACTCACAATGATAATGACAGCTACTATGACTTTTGCTAAGGCCAGAGCTCACCCCTCTCTTTACTCGTTTTCCCTTTTAGTCTTGGTGGGAGTACATCCTAAGTAAAAGCCATCCGTAATTCTGTTTATCAGAGAGTCAGTCACATTCCCTCTCCTTTCCCAGTACAGCCAAACAACAAGCTGTTACCCAAACACAGGCAAGTGGCCTTCTTAGAACAATCAGTCTTGAGTAAGCGGATGAATGACTAGAACATTCTCATGTCCTGCAGAAGCAGTAATGTCTGGTCAGCTGATTCATCTTCCCTATATCTTGGTTCCCTAGCCTTTCTACAGCTGGAAGTTTCCTGGAATTAAGTGATTTAATAAGTTTTGATTCCTCTTGAGTGGGAAGGTTTTTCTTAAACCAAGATGCAACGCCATCTCTAGTTCACCTTCTTTCATGTTAGTGTTTTTTTCCTTTTAAAAAAAAGTTTTTATAGCCAGACCTTATAGTACATGCCTTTAATCCCAGCACCTGGTAGGCAGAAACAGATGAATCTGTGAGTTCAAGGCCAGTAGGGTTTACATAGCAAGTTCAAGTCTAGCCAAGGCTATATAGTGAGACCCTATCTCAAAAAAAAAAAAAAAAAAAAAACACGAAAAACAACAGCAAAAGTATTATTAATGTATATAGATGAGTAGATATACAAATGCCACAGCATGTGTGTGGTAGCTGGAGGACAACCTTCTCAGAAGTCAGTTCTCTCCTTCTACTATGGGTTCAGCAAGAAATTTTAGCTACCAAGCCATTTCACACCAGCTTTCTCTTCTGGAGATACTGTTTTTACGTTCTGTGGGACAATTGTCTCTGTATTACGCAAATGTTTTCTGAACCAGCAGAGATCTGATTTCAGGCAAAATTTTGGTATTGTTAAGCATCTCCTGCCCTAGTATTTTGTAAACATTGTTCTCCATCACCTTATGATTGGCTAAAATAAAAGTCTATGGCCTATAGCAAAAAGCAGAATAGTAAAGTGGGACTTCTGGATAGAGAGAGGAACTCTGGGAGAGAGAACGAGGCACGGGAGACTCAGCCACGAATACATGGATGGATGGAACTGAGGAGAGGCGACCAGCCATGTGGCAAAACTTAGGAGAGCATAAACTGAAAATTGAGTTACTAGCTAGTAAAAAACAATGCCTAGCTATAATACCTAGGCATTCATAAATGAATATAAGCCTCACTGTCATTCAGAACTAACACAGGCATAGAAAAGGTTCACATGGCTACATTTTCATCTCTCTTTCTCTCTCTGGAAGCGCAGAAAATGCTCGTAACCATTCAACTATCTCTCTAGCTCCCTGTTCTGTTTTTAAAACACAGTCTAACTCTTTTTCTTTTTTTTGGTTTTTCGAGACAGGGTTTCTCTGTGTAGCCCTGGCTGTCCTGGAACTCACTCTGTAGACCAGGCTGGCCTCAAACTCAGAAATCCGCCTGCCTCTGTCTCCCAAGTGCTGGGATTAAAGGCGTGCGCCACCACGGCCCGGCTTGAGGATTTTAAAAAGTCCATACCACACCAAGTCTCACACTCTCTCTTCCTCCACCTTGCAGATCAGATGCAAGTTCCCAGCTACTGCTCCAGTACCATACATGCCTCCCTCCCTGCCTGACTGTCTCCTGCCATGTTTCCTGACAACTGCATACTGTATTTTATAAATTGCCTTGGTCATTAATCTTGAAAATATATATATGAATTTGGGGGGTGGGGGTCTCATTATGTAGCTCTGGCTGTGCTGGAATTCAGTAGACCAGCCTGGCCTTGAACTCACAAAGATGCACCTGCCTCTGCATCACCACATCCAGCTACATTATGATTTTTTAAACAGATTTATTTATGTATTTCATGTGAGTACACTGTTGCTCTCTTCAGACGCACCAGAAGAGAGCATCAGATTCCATTACGGGTTGTAAACTGCCATGTGGTTGCTGGGAATTGAACTCAGGACCTCTGGAAGAGCAGTCAGTGCTCTTAACCGCTGAGCCATCTCTCCAGCCCTACACATGATTTTTAAAGCCAAAATTATAGAAAGTTAGCCTTAGACTACCCTTCCTGATTGCAGCTGTTAGATCCTGTTTCCCACCTACCAATCTCAGTAGCTTTATTTTTCTGTATTTCTATTTTGCAAAAATTCAGCAGATAGCAGCTTTAAATGCATTTATTTGGGGCTGGAGAGCTGGCTACAGTTAAGGGCACATGCTTCTCTTCCAAAGAATCTGAGTTCAACTTCTAGCTCCCACATCAGGTTGCTCACAACTTCCTGTCATTCCAGCTCCAGGGAGATCCAACTTCTCTGGCCCCGATGGGCACCTGTACTCATGTACACATACCCCCCCCACACACACACACACACATTTTTTAAAATAAAAGTAAATTGTTAAATTCGTTTATTTATTTAGTATGGATGCACACATGCCATAGCCTACACACAGAGCTCTGAAGACAGCTTGGAAGAGTTGATTCTCTCCTACCATGTAGGACCCAGGAATTACAGTCAGATTGACAGAGTTGGTGCGTGTTAAATCTGTTAAAACAGTAAAAACTGTTACTTTCCATTTATATTTTCTACACTTTCAGGACTCACATTTAGAACTTCACATATACCAGGCGAAGACTCTACCACTGATCTACATCCTCAGCCGCCTGACGAACTATCAGCTTTTAGTCTTATTGTTCCACTTACTTGACAAAATTCTGTCACATGCCATCGGAAGAACTATGGTTTTGATGGCACACATCTCTAATCCCAGCACTTGGAAGGAGACAGCAAGAGGATTAGAAATCCAAGGTCATATTCTCATTAAATTTAGATTATACATGTGCCTTCAACTTTAATAACAAAAACAGAAAGGGCTGGCAAGATGCTTCAGTGGTTGTAAAAGTTCCTGTCATGGAAGCCTGGTAACCTTAGTTACATCCCTGGAACCCATAAAAAGTTGGATGCACTGGCTAGCGTCTATAATTCTAGCATTTCTACGGCAAGATAGGAGGTGAAGACAGAATTTCTCAGAGCTGGTGAGTAGGCTAATATCTGGAGTACGCAGAATGGCACAAACAAGTCACCCTGCCTCAACAAAGTGCAAGTAGAGAACTGACTCTCTGACTTCTGCATACTTGTAGAAGGCGAAAAGGCCTTGTGTACACTGATAGCACTGGAGGAGCCAGGAAGCACTGGAGGAGGAGCCATACCTCTTCAATGGAATGAGATGTTTTATACGAATGATGCAGTTTTACAACCTGGTGATTCTTGCTGACCGAGGAGACAGGCTCTACCCATATTTCCCAGAATTTATATTTTACTTAGCCCAGACCTTTTCCCCCAAATCTTGAGCACTGCTTTTAGACCATAAGCCCATTCTTCTAAGTGATATCACTTGTGCTTTGCAGCAGCCTAAGTGACTTCTGTATCTAAGGCCCAGACAATCCTGACACCTATGGGGATCGTTTACCTCACTCAAGACCCCTAGACCCTAAGTCATGGGCACTATCTGAGTCAACAGTATCCATTCTTGTACAAGAAGCTAGATGTACTTTGTAAAGAATCTCAGTGTAAACATGTCTAAAATTGTGTACATGGGACTGAGTTAATTGTTATCTAAAGACTTTCTTCCAAAATTATGTTGTCCTTAAATATAGCTAAAGTACAATGATCTGGGCCAGACTCTGGAAGTCTTGAGCTGAGTTTTATTCTTGTCTTTTCATGGACTGTTTTGTTTTTGCATATGGTGAGGCCTGAAGGGAATCACCACACATACACACATGCATATCATACACACAAACAATAGAAAAAGTAAAAAACAGCAACAAGTATCATGGTAGCTTACACATGTATACTTCTCTGCCTTTTTAAAATTTATTACATCTTTATTTTTTTTGGCGGAGGGAGCTTATGTATACCACAGTACTTTCATGGAGGTCAGAGGACAACTTGCAGGGGTCAATTTTCTCTTTCTACCATGTAGGGTCCCAGGTATTGAACTCAGGTTGTCAGGCTTGGCACCAAGCATTTCTACCCATTAAGCAATTTCACAAGCCCATGTACACTGTTTAACAGAGAATCTAAGCTGAGTGTGGTGACGTACACCTTTAATCCTGGTGCTCAGAGGCAGGTGGATCTCTGAATTCAAGGCTAGCCTGGTCTACAAAGCAAGTCCCAGGACAGCCGGAGCTACACAGAGAAACCCTGGCTCAAAAACAAAACAAACAAAACAACAGAAACCCTTCATCACTAAAGCTCCCAAGCTTCCTTTCTCTCCATCACTGGTCCAACTCCAGTGAAGATAACAGGTTAAAGCCACACCCTATACTCCCTGCCTAACTCTTCACTAGTCCCCATCTCTTTGCTAACTCACAAGCATAAAAGACAAGCCAATAAGGGGTTCTAGGCTGTGACCTAGAACTAATCCTAGGCTTACTAATCTTTCACCTTGGACTCACACTACAGACCCACATCTGACTCAAACTCTGGCTAATATTTGACTCAAACACTGTATGAAGCCATCAGATTCAGTCCAACCAAAATGGAGAGTCTCTCACTTGTCCTGCACAAAGCAAACATCTTCCTATAAACACTGGGATCTGACACTCTCTTCTGGCCTCTGAGGGTGCATGTATATGTATACATACACACATACAGACACTACCACAGACATAAAAATATATAAATCTTTTTAAAAAAAGGAAAATTATAGTTGGGCAGTGGTGATGCAAACCTTTAAGCCTAACACTCAAAAGGCAGAGGCAGGCCAGTCTGATCTACAGAACAAGTTCCAGGACAGCTGATACACTATCTCTAAAAAGAAAGAAAAAAAGAAAGAAAGAAAAATTCAATTAGAACAAAAAAACAAGGACAATATTGTGGAACTACTTTTACTAAGTTCATTTCAGAACCTTAGGTGGCCAAGTTCAGTTATGCTGACTACATACCACTGTTATATTCTGTATGTTATGAGGTGTATTAATCTTAAATTCTACAACCATAAGCTTCACATATGACCCATCAAATTAAAGGTCAATATAAACTATTATGTCTAAAATGGCTTGAGTCCAGGCTAACCAGCAGGCAGCACTTCCAGCAGCTGCATATGTGCTCTTTGTGGTTTCTGCAGTTTTAGCTTTTATAAGCTAGCCCTGAGAAATGTTCACCACGCAGCTCTCAACTCTGAAGCCTGAGCTATTGCCCTAGTTGATCAATCTTGTGGTGTGCATTCAATAAACCATCCCTGTTTAACTGAGATCAGTGTTTGTGTAGTTTATGGGGCGACTCCTGGACCCAAACAGTTCAGACAGTCTCTCTACATTCCCCTGGCTGGTGTCCTCACTAGTTCCAGTACTATTACAGAGATATTTAATTTATAATTCTAAGTCTTCTTTCCCCTAACTACACAGATAATGTATTTCTATATTTCATAATACTAGTTGGTGGAGTTTTATGGGTTGAGCTATGATTTAACTGCTAAGCACCTGAACATATGCTTTCTCCTCTTTGTTTAAGAGTTAAGTGCTTCCATTTACTATAAATGAGTGAAATATACCAACGACTTTCATATCATGACAAGAATGATAGGATTTGCAGACCCTGGGTTCAATACACTCCCTACTCCCCTCCAAAAAAAAAGTTATAGAATCTGAAAATGACCGGGGATTACTGATTGTAATCTCTTCATTCTGTAGGTAAAGAAGGTGAAAACAAGCTACATGACCTGCCGAAAGGAACGCTCTGGCTTGAGGCAAATTCTCCAACACAAGTTTGAGTATTTGTTTTTTAGATTTATTTATTTTATGTATATGTGTACATAATAGCTGTCTTCAGATACCAGAAGAGGGCATCAGATCCCATTACAGATGGTTGTGAGCCACCATGTGGTTGTTGGGAATTAAACTCAAGACCTCTGGAAGAACAGCCAGTGCTCTTAACCGCTGAGCCATCTCTCCAGCCCCCTCCAACACAAGTCTTCATCATCAAATCAGACAGAACAGAGATGGTAACTACTGAGTACAGAACCAGAGATGGTAACTACTGAGTAAAGGTTTAGAGACAGGAAGACCAATAAACAACAGATTACCTGCTTACCTGTTTGGATCCCTGTCTCTTGTTCTAACTGATGGTAGAGTTTGTTTGAATAGTCAGCCATCTTCTGTTCAATGCTTGAATGCCTAGCAGTGCTTAGGATGCCAGCACAGAACCTTGTTGAGCCAGCAGCCAGCCTGCAGCACAGATGCAAAATACTGTTAGAAAGACTCACTTGTACCTGTGGATCTAAGTTTAGGTTCTAGAACTAGAGAAGTCTCAGCAGATTAACAGCAGTGATTGTTCTTACAAAAGAGCCAAGTTGCCAGGCGGTGGTGGCGTACACCTTTAATCCCAGCACTTGAGAGGCAAAGACAGGAGGATTTCTGAGTTCGAGGCCAGCCTGGTCTACAAAGTGAGTTCCAGGACAGCCAGGGCTACACAGAGAAACCCTGTCTCGAAAAAAAACAAAAAAAAAAAAAAATAAAAATATAAAAAATAAAAAAACAAAAAACAAAAGAGCCAGGTTTAATTCCCAGCAACCACACACTGGCTCACTACTGTGGCTCACAATCATCTATGACCTCAGCTAGGCAAGGAACCACATGCCTTTAATCTCAGCACTCTGGAGGCAGAGGCAAGTAGACCTCTGAGTTCCAGGCCAGCCAGAACAATATAGTGACATTCTGTCTCAGCAGTTAGGATCCTGGTTTGATTCCTAACACCTACACAGTTGCTCAGAGCCATCTGTAACTCTAGCTGCAGTAGGCTGTCCAGCACACCTTCTTCTGGCCTCCACAGGCACAAGACATATATGTGCTATATATAAACACATAAAAATAAACAAAAAAAAAAAGGCCTGGGGAGATGGCTCAATAGTCAACTTAACTTGCTGTTCTTCTAAAGGAACTAGTTCCCAGCACCCACTCATAGCTTACAACTACCCGTTAACTCCTGCTTATTTGATTCCTCTGGCACCTGCACTCACGTACATGTATACATACATACACACAAACACAGGCGCATACATACATACATACACACACACACATACATACATACATACATACATACACAAACACACAAACACACACACACACACACACACACACACACACGATTAAAATAAAAAATCCTGGGCTGGAGAGATGGCTCAGTGGTTAAGAGCACTGACTGTTCTTCCAGAGGTTCTGGGTTCAATTCCCAGCAACCACATGGTGGCTGACAACTATCTGCAATGGGATCTGATGCCCTCTTCTAGTGTGTCTGAAGGCAGCTACAGTGTGTCCATATATATAAATTAAAAAATATATATCCTCACCCATTCCCCCAAAAGTAGATGAGAGAATCATACACATACACCCCACACACATACAATAGTCTTTTTAAATTTTAATAATTTATGTGCATTGGTATTTTGCCAGCATGCACGTCTGTGTGTCTGTGTTAGGGTGTCATAGCTTGGAGTTATAGACAGTTGTGAGCTGCCATGTTAATTTTTAAAAATTTATTTTTATATGTATGGGTGTTTTTTCTACACATATCTGCATACCACATGTGTGCTTCATGACCAGAGACCAGAAGAGGGTATCAGATTTGCTGGATCTTGAGTTACAGATGGCTATGACCTGCCATATATGGGTGCTGGGAGTCAAACCTGGGTCCTCTGGAAGAGTAGCCAGTGCCCTTAACTGTTAGGCTGTCTCTTAAGTCCTATAAATCTAAAACTATACTGAGTCAAACCAACAATAGTAAAAGACGATGGGCAGGCTGTAAGCACTATTGTTCAGCTCATGACCATGGGACACAGCTGTGCTGTGTGAAGAGGATGACGACAGAGAGGGAGAGGAGCTGGGCCGTGAATTCCTGTCCTTTTAAGATACTGTTGAAATTTGCTACCTCTCTACTGCAGAAAACATGAGTGCTAGAACACAGCTAACCACAGCGCAGACTTCACCCTGGGTCTTCTCACACTAGTGAGCAACATTAGATCAGCTATGGGGATGACACTATGAAAAACACGGAGTGACAACGTCCAACTCCAAGGCACGTCAATGTGAGCCTTACCTGCCCTGCTCCAAAAGGACAATATCCTGCCATCCCATTTTGGAGAGGTGATAGGCCACAGATGTGCCCATGATTCCACCTCCACAGATGACCACCTGCGCCTGGGCAGGCAGAGCAACAGAATGTGCCTCCGAAGCCGATGAGCTGCTTCTTGCCGATGACCAGGTCTGCCATCCTGGGCTAGTTCTTTGTCTTTGGACAATAGACAGCAACCGGTAAAGCATCACCACCTGGAAGATGTATTTTCACTCAGCTGAGAAGATCCAAAGAATATGAACTAGAAAAGAAAAAAAAATCATTCCATGTAAGTCAGTTCTCAGGAGGAATGAGAAAAAGATTTAACAAAGAACAATAGCCTTCATTTGACATATATTTGAAGACCTATGTTTCAAATTCTGCTAAAATGAATGAAAGGAAGGAAGGAAGGAAGGAAGGAAGGAAGGAAGGAAGGAAGGAAGCCAGCCAGCAAGGCATGGTAGCTCATGTCTTTAATCCCAGTACTCTGAAAGTAGAAGTAGGCAGATCTCTGTGAGTTCAAGGCCAGCCCGGTCTACGTAGAGATTTCCAAGACAGCCAGGACTACAAAGAGACACTGTCTCAAAAATAACACACCCACACACACAAAGGTAAACAAAAAAACAAGCACAAAAAAAAATCTAAACTGAGTCTAGCAGCACAAGCCTATAGACCTAGCACTTGAGAAGTGGAGACAGGAAGATGCCCAGAAGTTCAAGGTTATCCTCAGCTACACTGGAATTTCCAGGCCAGCTTGGGTTGGAAATCTTGTCTAAAGATAGATACTGACAGATAGACAGACACAGACAGAAGAATAAGAAACAGTGAGATGGCCACACAGGGCCTTATAACCTGAGTTCAACACCTGTAATCCATTAAATAAATAAATAAATAAATAAATAAATAAATAAATAAAATAAGGAAGTCCAGTGAGAAGGTCAGGAAGGTGAGGCATAGGAATAATACTGGCAGATGGAAAGAAAGCAGCTATATGAATGTTTAGACAGAAGGAATAAGTATATGTAAGGACCATGTAGTAAGACAAACCAACCTGATGAGCCCCATCCCTCCAAATAAAGGAAGGCAGTGGCTACAGTATAGTGATGGGAGGGAAAATGATTAAGATAAACCTGAGAAAAACAGGCAGGAATCAATTCTATAGTACTTGAATGCCATAATAAACAAACAAACAAAATCATTAAAGCAAGGGAATCAAGTGATCTTATATGTTTTTCAAAGGTCATCCTGGCTCCACAGTGGAGAGTGGATGGTGAATGAAAGAAAGATGAGAAAGGAAGATATTCCAACAGTTCAAGCATACACAATGGCTTAGATTGAACATGGCAGCTAACTCAGAAAAATAAACATACTGTTCTGGAAGCAGAAATGACAGAATTCACCTAGTCATGAACATGCCACATGTGACCCCAGCACTCCAGAGGCTATGGCAGGAAGATCTCAAGTTCAAGACAAACCTTAGCAACAAAGAGAGACTTGTCTCAAAACAAAGAGAATGCTCCACTTCTGATGTGAATAATCCAGCAGAAGAGCCAGGGAAATGTTGGGTACAGGAACTGAATGAAGAACCCAACCACAAGAAACTAAATATTTGATCTGGAGTGTCCCAGGAAACAAGAAGTCACTACTGGCTGAAAACAAAAAAGGTAGGGCTTTAACAAAAATCTAACAGGAATACTGTTAAATCTCAAGAAACTAAAGCTTGACCTACTGGCAGACTATGCCAGCATTAAAGAGCTTAAGACACAGGGTGGCAGATATGTGGCAATCAGAGAAGCACTCTGCCAATAAAGCTGCCACCACCTCAACTACTAGCATCTGGCCTTCCCATCTGGACTCCTCTAAGACCAAAGACACATACACACTATTGGAGAGGACTCTCAGAACTGCAATCTTCTTTAAAAATGCTTTAGATTTGTGTGTGTGTGTTTTGTCTGCATGTATATCTGTGTACCATATGTATGCATGGTCAGAACAGGGTGTGAGATCCACTAGGACTGGAGTTACAAATGGTCGTGAGCCACCATGTGAGTGCTGGGAATCAAACCAAGGCTTTCTATAAGAACAGCTGATACTCTTAACCACTGACCATCTCTCTGGTGCTCAGAACTACAATCTTGGCAAACAGGGTATAGAGAGAAATCTCATGCAAGTGGGGACCAATTATCATTTCTGCTTCCTATGAGGCTCTATCTTAAGGTTCTCAGTCTGGTATAAGGACACACAACTATGACCCAGCACTCGGGAGGCTAAAGCAGGATTCTGAATTGCAGAACAGCCTGAGGTCTGTATAACCACGTCTCAAAACAATCCAAGACAAAAAGAACAACAACAAAGATACAAACTTCTCTGTAGAAGTACATGAGCAGTTTCCTGAAGAATTATCTTCATATAACCCAAGCTCACCTCAAATCCTCCACTAGGCCCTCTAGGCTACACTTCTAAGTTAAATACACACCCCTTTACTAACATTCTCCCCACCTCCAGTCCCAACGGAAACACAACTCTCACTAGAGAATTACCTTACTTCACTATCAACCACTGCCACTTGGCCATGCTTGGAAGACCCTTGGGCTGGTTGGTTTTACATCAACTTGAGACAAGCCAGAGTCATTTGAGAAGGGGGAAATCTCAACTGAGAAAATGCCCCATCAGATTAATCTGTGGGCAAGTCTAAATTTATTGGGATTCAGACCCGGGACAAACAGCTGAGGTGAGTATTTAACATACCGAAGTGGCCCCTCCCCACATCCCTCAGTCCCTACATGGCATACCCCACTCTCTTAACTTTCCAGCCCAGGAGCTGGGCTTCTCCTTCCCCAGAAGCTCTTTCCTATATAATCCAGACATTCTGGTCTCTTCCCTCTTTTCTTCTTCCCACCCCCCTCTGCACTCTCATACATTCTAAGATACTCTGTCTCACTGCCCCTCCCCTCCCCGCTGTGAACCCACTCTTTCTTTCTCTTCTCCCTTCTTTCTGTCTCCCTTCCAATGGTGACTTTCCTACCCTTGGTCTTTGGGACCAGGGAACCCACCTGAGAGCTGTTTCCCAATAATAAGCCTTTATTCACTCTAATTGACTTAAACTGGCTAATTTTGCTGCCAGAGAAATAACTTATCAATATTTTCTTGATTAATGATTGATGTGGGAGCTGGGTGGTGGTGGTGCACGCCTGTAATCCCAGCACTTGGGAGGCAGAGGCAGGCGGATTTCTGAGTTCGAGGCCAGCCTGGTCTACAGAGTGAGTTCCAGGACAGCCAGGGCTACACAGAGAAACCCTGTCTCAAAAAAAACAAACAAAAAAAAAGATTGATGTGGGAAGGCCAGCTATAGACATTGCCACTACTGGGCAGGTGGTCCTGGGTGTTTAAAGAAAACAGGCTGAACAGCCAGGCATGGTGGTCCACAACTTTAATCCCAGCACTCAAGAGGCATAGGCAGCTGTGTCTCTATGAGCTCGAGGCCAGCCTGATCTACATAGTAAATTGGCAAACAGCCAGGACTATACAGTAAGATTTGTCTCAACAAAGCAAAAGCAGGCTGAGAAAGCTATGGGAGTAAACCAAGCAACAGAACTCATCCGTGGCTTCGACATCAGTTCCTGCCTTCAACTGCTCTGACCTTCCTGGACAATTTGTAAGATGAAATACCCCTTTCCTCCCCAAGTGTTTGGTTATAGTGTTTTATCACAGCAACAGAAACCCTAAGACATCCCTGCTCCTTTGTGACTCGGGTTAGCTGCCTGTACCAGCCCTAAGCATCTCTACTCAGGATTCTGAGCCCACATGCTCTTCTCTCTGCCTTCTCCCTACCTGCTGTCTTTCCTCACTAAGCAGACAGCCTCTCCCAGCTCATTCCTGAAACCTTCAGTAGGCTGAGTGCAGTCTCTCCACAAGTGTTAGAACCCCTCATTCTTCCTTCTCTGCACCCCAGCACAATTCACTGGCCTCTTTTTACACCCTGGAATCAATGATTTCTTCCATTTTCCCCTTCTCTTCCTCAAGGCCCTCCTAGGTAATCTAATAAAAGAAACAAAAGCTCCCTATCATAATTTTTATATCAAAAAATTTTAAAGTGTACAAATTAGTCTTTGCAAAAAGTCAAATACAGAGTTCCCATTTCTTAGAATTATATGTCTTCCACCATCCTGTTGGAAGATGTTTTCATGCACTGTGTATTCAAAGGCTGATTTCTGTACACAGAGATCTGGTTGCAAACCAGCATTGTCAGGTTAGAACAACTTAGTGAAGTGGAAAGTTTTGGTTTCTTCAGAAAGTCAGCTATATCAAATGATGTTTTGCTAAAGTAGACACAGGTGAAAGGATGTTTTGCTATAGGAGACACATGAAGTTTGATGGTTAGAAGGAATATAAATATGACCCCACAGACAGTGGAAGCATCAAACACTGGTTCGCTTTGCCCTGCCTCACTACTCTTCAGTGACGACATGCATGCATTGGCTTACCTTACATTCATTGCATTACTGAGCTTCACTGTGGTGACTTCATAGAAACTCAAAAAATAACTTCTAGTGAGGTTCCTGTGGCTTCTTACCACTTCAGGACTCAGGCTGATTGGTGAGTCTCGGGGTTTCTACTGGATTGAACTGCAGTTGCTGATTTGTGTGTGGTGTCTGCCAAGTGGACTGGTCTCCAGCCACTGATCCGTGTTTAGTGTTTGCTAGTGGACTGGACTGAGAATAACAAAGATTGGAATTGCCCCAAAGAACTACTTCTAAACAGGTCAATTTCTCTTGTATCCTAATAACCTTTCTTTTCCACTACCTCTGGTTGGTAGTAGGCTAGAAAGGAGGTTGAACCATTATAGGTTAAAAAAAATATACACCCATATCTTAAGAATCTGTCTAGCTCTAGTGCCTGAAGATTTCAATAAATATAAAGGACTCTGGGTCATTATTCAGAGCAAGGGCAGGCATAGAAAACCATACTTTTACCCCATCCAAGCCTGAGTTCTAGTTTCCTCAAACCTTAATGACTAGACAATGGCTGAGATTTTTGTCCTTGTTCTTTTTTTAAAGATTTATTTATTTTATATATGTGAGTACACTGTCGCTGTCTTCATGCATACCAGAAAGAGGCATCAGATCCCATTACAGATGGTTATGAGCCACCATGTGGTTACTGGGATTTGAACTCAGGACCTCTGGAAGAGGTGTAGTGCTCTTAACCACTGAGCCATCTCTCCAATCTCGTTCCTTTTTTGTCTTGGTTTGGTTTTGGTTT